CTTTCTTTTATTTTGGTCATTTTCCACTTATTTCTTCCAAATTACTCTATATCCATCAAATTGCCACCTAAATCAAAATATGAGATTAATAAGTATATTTTGGCATAAAATAATCATACAAGCACATAAAATAAGGAGGAAAAAATATGTATTTTACATTCCTATCAGCAAATCACGTATGCGAGCGCGACTTGCGTACACGAATGTCGGATCGAAATGAGCAAAATTGGCCACTTAAGAGTGTCCACATTTTGCTACATTTTTGTTTTATTCAAGTGACTTTTCATTTTTTGAAACGGTTGAAACTTCTGTGGTAATTGCCATTAAGTGAATGGGCAAGTTACGTTTTCAAGAGCCAAGTCTTTATATGTCTCGTTTTCCACTTTTCAAAACACACGAATTCATCTGAAAATACAAGGAAAAAAAACTGTCTGCATGCATTTTTAATTTCTGTTTGAGTCTTGGAGGTGGTATTGTTCAGTCGCTAAATCAGTTCGTCGAAGTAGTATCTGTAGTGCTCAGAATCTACTAGTTTTGTCGTTGTACCCTGGGAAATGGACGCTCGAGTAAACCTCAAGCACAAATGGTGAGGGGATGAATCTGTTTAAGGAAACTGTGTGTAACACATGCCTCGAGTTAAAAGTTTTATCGTTTAATTCATTTTTTTCCTTATTTGTTACTCTTTTTGCATATTGATATTTTGTCGTTCTCTTTAAATTACTTGTTACGTCTTACTGTAATTAACAAATTATTGAATCTGCCAGATTATTAAATCTGTTATATATAATTGAATCTATTATATTCAAAGTTATATGCAAAAAGGGTATGTGAAAATTCAGTGTTTAAATTCACAACATATACGGTATGCTCCAATCCGGTATTAAAACTATAAATCCGGTATCCAGTGTGTAAATCCAGTATCTAGTACTGAAACACTTATCCAACACTTTCTACTATATATTGATGTGTCCCATAATAGTCTAAAGGGAGAAATTCCCTCGGGGGGACGTTTTGCAAACTTCAATGCTCAATCGTTTATGACAAATCTCTCTATAGTGAAACTCGACAACAATTTCCATCTTGTGGAAATATTATTGAAAAATCAAGGTCAAAGAATGAAATCTTGCTAATGAAATATATTCTTCCTCCTATCCTTCTAGTAATCATTGTAGTCAACGTGACAATTTTGATGATAAGAAGA